AGCGTTCTGCACAAGATACAGATATTTTGAATATACTATTATGCTGTTTAGGCTAACGAACGCCCTAGCAACATTTTAAGAACTTATTAACAACGTGTTAAGAGTACACCTAGACATCTTTGTTGTTGCATACTTAGATAATATCCTTGTTTACTTTAAAAACAAAGAAGACTACGTTAAATATGTCTGCACGGTACTAAGGTGCCTAAACTAGTATAACTTACGCGTAAAACTAGAGAAGTATAAGTTCTATAAAAAGAAAGTTAACTTCTTAGGCTACGTTGTAGGAGTTAACAGAGTACGCATAAGCGAAGAAAAGATTAAAGTAGTTAAGGAATAGCTAACACCTACCTTGTTTAAGTAGAATAAGGAAGCTGAAGACGCTTTCTAATAACTTAAGAATGCAAGCATAGAACTACTATGCTTCTGCATATTCTAAGTAAGACAACTACTACGCTTTAAGACTAATGCCTTAGATTTTGCGCTAGGCGGATGTGCTAGCTAAATGCACAAAGGCAGATAGCACCTTATTGCCTATTACTCTCGCAAGTTCTTAGGGCTAGAGGAGAACTACGATATTTATAATAAAGAGCTACTAGCTATTATTGTATGCCTTAAGTATTAGAGAGTATACGCTAAAAGCTGCTTAGAACTTACAATATTTACGGATTATAAGAACTTAGTAAACTTCACGACTACTAAAGTACTTAACTAACGACAAGTTAGATAGTTAGAAGAACTAGGACAATATAAGTTTAAGATCGTGTATACACTAGAAAAAGATAATAGTAGAGTAGACGCGCTTAGCTGCAGACACGATATTGCTGGAACTAAGTTAATTATAGATTCTGCACTACTTAAGTTTAACTAAGATAGATTGCTAAGACTAGCGAAGATGTTAAACTAGATTATAAAGATCGCTAGCGAAGTACTAGAGGAATTGCAAAAAGCAATTATTTAACAACACTATAACGACCTAGTACATAGTTACCCTAGTATCGCTAGAACTATAGAACTTATTAAGCAGAACTACGAGTTTCTAAATATAAAGGACAAGGTTACCTCCTTTATCGCTAAGTGCGCAGACTATTAGAAGAACAAACACAGTACCTACGCACTCTATAGAGAAATACAAGCAATAGAGCTACCTGACTGTAAAGGTTATCCTTAGATGACCTAAGAGTTGGTTCTTAGGGAATAAGTGAGTGCGATAGACGGGGTGGGCGTGATAGCACGATTGGTAGATCGATGTAATATCACGAGGGGTTGTATGAGAACGAAGTATAATCCTTAGATTGAATACTAGAGTCTTGTACGAAGTTGAACACACTGAGCTATAGGGGTTTAGTGTCTAAGCTATATACTAATGAGTGCTGCGCTTAGTATTGAGCGTGTGAGTGCTCGTTAATGAGCGATACAGTGCTGGCCCTAGTTATTGGCTGACTAGTCCTGCTTACTGCTGAGCACCTGTTCTGGGCCTAGCGTGTGTCTGCTTACTACTAAGCAGTCACGTGACCTTAGCGTGGTTGCTATGCTGTAATCTTTTAACTGTGCCGCTTGATCCTCTAAAGTAATTACGCTTACCCCTGTCTCTTCCTAGGTATAGATTGTAACACTATCCTCCTCCTACAGGGATTCGTCCTCGAATTACATAACTGATTTGTGGTTTCTATTATTAACTGAGGCTTGCCCCGCGTTATAAGTAAGGCAATCGTTATGTCCTCTTCTACCTAACGTCGCTTACGCCTTAGCTCTAAGATTGTTTGAGCTAACTATCCTGCTAAAACGCCTTGTAACTATTGTTTTCTTGAAGGCAAGACTTGTTACGTTATGCCTGATTCTTGTCTGAAATGTGCTGAGTGCACTTGGTTGGGGCATGCGTGTGTGAACATGTCCTGGGAGTCCTTGGATCGTACGCGCGATGAATATTAAAGAAAGTGGATGATGATGAGAAATTACTGGCAACAGTAATTTCGCGGTTGTTGCGAAATAAGAAGATTCTGAAACAGGCAGAAGAGCGGGCGCGAAAGAAGGCGCTGTGTCTGGCTAACGATATGGAGGCGGCTGGTGAAACGGAGATGGCGCAGGAGATGGATTGTCCTGCGTCTTCTATTGGTATGGAATTTTCGCCGGCTATGTGGGCTACAATGGGCTTGATTGATGCTTCTGTTGCTGGTTATGGTACTTCTGAAGGTGTAGTCGGCAGTTCGTAAGGTTTGTATCTGGTTCCTATGTATTTTCGCTGTTTGGGTAGCCTGACTATTTGATTAGGTACTTGGTTCTGTTGCTGTTGTCTTGATGTGCGAGTATTCTTTCGACTTTGAAGACGCTGTCCTCTTCTGTTTTGAAATAAAAGGTTTTTTAAAGTGGCGTTGCTAGGTCTGCTGGTTCTAACATGTTGATATGGAATCTTAGGTGGACTTTTGCGTCGGCCGGAAGGTTGAGTGTATAAGTAACTAGTCCCTTCTGGTTAAGAATTAAAAACGGTCCGACCTTGACGTTGTTGAGACCTTTATTTAGTCGTTTAGTGCGGAGATTCTTTGTGAGCAAATAAACTTTATCCCCCTTCTTTAGCTGAGGTGCTGTTTTTCGTTTCTTGTTAACATATGAAATGCTTTGGCGTTGAGCTTTCTTAAGTACTTTCTTTAGTGACTTATGTACTCCCTTTAGCTTGTTGGCGGTGGCGATAGCTGCTTCTGTCTTCTGGCTAGGAAATGTTCGCGTAAAGAGATTTGGGTGTCTCCTGTGGTTTGCGTAGAACGGTGTTTGTCTTGTTGATTCTGAAAACTTGTTGTTGTATGCTATCTGTGCTATAGGTAGTAGTGATACTTAGTTATTTTGTTGTTGATTAGCGTATATCCGTAGATATGTTTTTATCGTTTAATTTGTTCTTTTAGTTTGTCCGTCTGTCTGCGGGTGATAGGCTGTTGATAGCTTCTTCTTAGTTCTGATCGCGGCTAGTAATGTTGTCTAAAAGTTAGAAGTGAAGAGCTTGTCTTGATCACTGATAATTGACTTTGGTATGCTGTGATGTCTGATGATTCGGTCGTTGATGATATGAGCTAGCTGTACTGCCGTATAGTCTTTCCTAAAGGCGATGTACTCGGCTTGCTTTGTAAATCGATCGACTACTACGAGAATTGCGTTGTATGATATTTGTGTGACAGGGTCTCTTGAGACTGGTAAGCCTGTAACAAAGTCTATGGAGATGTCTGACTACGGTGCGTTGGGTAGCTCTATTGCTTGCATTTCTCTGTAGGGTGCGTGGGTACTGTGTTTGTTCTTCTGACAGTCTGCGCACTTAGCGACGAAGGCGGTGACTTTGTCCTTTATGTTTGAAAACTCGTAGTTTTGCTTGATGAGTTCTATAGTTCTTGCGATACTAGGGTGACTGTGTAAAGGGTCGTTATGGTGTTGTTGAATGATTGCCTCTTGCAATTCTTCTGGTACTTTGCTGGTGATCTTTATGATCTGGTTTAACATCTTCGCTGGTCTTAGCGATCTGTCTTTGTTGAACTTGAGTAATGCGGAGTCTGTGATTGACTTGGTTCCTGCAATATCGTGTCTGCGGCTTAGAGCGTCTGCTCTGCCGTTGTCTTTTCTGGGTGTATACACGATCTTGAACTTATATTGTCCTAGTTCTTTTAACTATCTGACCTGGCGTCGGTTGAGTACTTTAGTGGTTGTGAAGTTGACTAAGTTCTTGTGATCTGTGAATATCGTGAGTTCTGAGTAGCTTTCTGCGTATACTCTCTAATGCTTAAGACACGCGACAATAGCTAGTAGCTCTTTGTCGTGAACGTTGTAGTTCTTTTTTAGTCCTAAGAACTTGCGAGAATAGTAGGCGATGGGGTGCTATTTTCCTTTATGTATTTGACTAGCACATCCGCCTAGCGCGAGATCTAAGGCATTAGTCTTGAAGCGTAGTAGTTGTCCTGCTTGGAATATGCGGAAGCATAGTGGTTCTATGCTTGCATTCTTAAGTTGTTAGAAGGCTTTTTCTGCTTCCTTGCTCTATTTAAACGTAGTGTCTTTCCTTGTGAGTTTAGTTAGTAGGATAGCGATCTTAGAGAAATCCTTGATAAACTGTTAGTTGAAGTTTAGGAATCCTAAGAAGGATTGTATATCTTTAACTGTCTTAGGTGTTAGCTATTCCTTGACTACTTTAATCTTTTCTTCGCTTATGCGTACTCTGTTGACCCCTACGACGTAGCCTAAGAAGTTGACTTCCTTTTTGTGGAATTTGCACTTCTTGGGTTTTACGCGTAAGTTGTACTAGTCTAGGCACCTTAGTACCGTGCGGACATGTTTAATATAGTCTTCCTTATTTTTAGAGTAGACGAGGATATCGTCTAAGTATGCGACGACAAAGATGTCTAGGTGTGCTCTTAACACGTTGTTGATGAGTTCTTGAAATGTTGCTAGGGCGTTTGTTAGCCCGAACGGCATGACAGTATATTTGAAATGTCTGTATCTTGTGCGGAACGCTGTCTTCTATTCTTTACCTTCTTTGATTCTGATAAGGTGGTATCCGTCTCGAAGATCTATTGCTGTGAAGATCTTTGCTCGAGATAATCGATCCCGTAGTTCCGTGATGTTGGGTAGTGGGTATCAATTCTTGATCGTGATGTTGTTGAGCTTGCGGTAGTTAACGCACATTTGTGGTGGCCTATTCTTCTTTGGTACGAAGAGTATGGGGAATCCTGCTGGCGAGCTTAAAGGTCTGATGTATCCCTTTTTTAGATCCTTCTCCAGTTTTTCTCTTAAAATCTTAAGTTCTGCCTCTAATAGTTGATATATTAGCCCGAAGGGTGGAGTCTTCCCTTCTTCTAGGACTATCTTATAGTCCTAGGGTTGATGCTTTAGTAGGTCTTAGTCGTCTACTACTTCCGCAAAGAGGTGCTCGAAATCCTTGTACTCTTTCAGGATATTAGGAGTTACGCGTTTCTCTAGTACTCTAACTTTGTGATCTAGAAGTACCTTGCTAGTATCTGTTAAGTCGAACCTTCGTGTCTTAAAGCTGTTCTTGTGCGAGGGTCGCTTTCCTTTAGCGATGTTGTTAATCTTCCTCTTATCTACTATCTTAGGCGTTGGATGCGTAGGCTAGCTTGCGGGTGCGTCTAATCTGCAGCACTTAAATGAGAACTTTCTTAACGTCTAGTTAATCTGCGGGTTGTGTTCTTGTAACTAGGGAAGTCCTAATATAATGTTGTGGGTAGCTAGTCTAAAGACGTCTAGGTCTAACTTCTTATAGTAATTCTAGATGCTAAGCGTCACTCTAGTAACCTCGTGTGTAATCTAGTTACCGCCTGGCATAGGCTGGCTATTAGCAACATGTAGTGGGTAGCTTTCTTCTTTCCTTAGTAGTCTTAGTCTAGCTAAGAAGACTGCTTAAGCGGAAAGGTAGTTTGCTTGTAATCCTGAGTCTACTAATGCCTGCATCTGTTTTCTGTTAAGCTCTACTAGGAGCATAAGGAGTGTTGAGGAGTTTATGCTGTTAATCTCTTTTTTAGGGTTAGGTGTATCAGGCGTCTGTCTAAAAAAGACTGTGTGCTGTAACTGTAAAACTTCTTTGCGACTATGTGTAGTTCGCACTTGATATTGAGGCACGTGTGCTAGGAGGGCTGGTTGCACTCCTATGCACTAGTTCTGTCCTCTAGGGTCTTCTGCTGCGTAATATGCATCTGCAGGGTTTCTTGTAGGTCTTTGTGACTGTGAAAGTATAGGCGGTGTCTCTTGTCCTATAGGTGTATGGCGCATTGGTCCTTAGGGTAATTAAACTATTAAAAAGCATATACTAGCATTCCCGCGTACTTGTGTGGGAAGTATCCTGACTTACTTTTGTTGGAGTAGTGGATGGTGCACGAGTCGTGGGTGCACGCTGTCTAACTTAGCTTGTTATGTAACGGGTTCCTGGGGTTGTGCTAGTAGTGGGTTTCTGTTTTGTGTTTCCTTTGTTTGTTGTTGCGTTGTAAGCGAGCATCGGCACGTTCTTGCCTTCTGTGCTGCTTTTCTGTCGCTACTTGCTTGTAGGCTATAGCGGCGTCGACATCCTTACTTCTCTAGTAGCGGTAGGACTTATACTCCTTATCTGTTATCTGGCTCTTGTGAGGGTTGGTTTGCTTCTTGATTTCCTTATAGATTTCTTGTTTCTCGCTGTTGGATAGGTAGTGCGTGGGTTCTTCCTAGGAAGCCTTAGCTTTATATGCCTATCTGAACAGTTCTTCGGCGTTATGAATACTCTGTGTCTTGAGTTCTTCGAGGAGTCCTTGGTACTCTATAAATTTCTTAAACTCGTCGTAGAATTGGTTCTTAGTGTTGGGGTATTTGTATTCTAGCTTGCCGAGTTGCTGGCGTAGTACACTTAGCTTGAAGTCTAGGTCTGCTGGACACTGAATAACTACTAAATTGTCGCTAGCAGTGGGCTTGTCCTATACCTGCATTGCGCGATTGATCTAGTTAAGTTTGTTAGGTGTTGGTAGGAATTTTACAATGTCTGCAGGGAGGTTTTCTTTCTCGTGCTCTACTTGGCAGGACAGATTGTAGAAGTCTTGGCGCATTGCTGCTATAATGTCTGGTGTTTTGTACGCGTACTCGATAGGTGGTTTGTTTAAGTATTGGAGTAGCTGGTTGATCTGAGATGAAAGTGTCTTTATTTGTTCTTCTGGAACGTATGGTGTGGAAGGTCGGTTCCCTTCCTTGAATATGGCTATTTTGCCGAACTTGGTCTGGTCGATTTCTGTGACCTCTAGGTCCTTAAAGGACTCTGGGTCGGAGGTATCTTTGTTGGAAGATAGTTCTTCTACCTTAGTAATGGTAAGGTCTTTAAGGCCGTCGATCATCTCGTCGTCTTCTACGTCCAACTTAATGTGTGGTCGAGTGATGACATTCTATTCCTTGGTGTCGTCGTGGGGTGCCGTCCGGCGAATGACATTTAACTGTCTAGTTACCTTGCCTTAGCTGCGGTAGTCCCGCTTTATGTGGCCTTCCTTGCTATAGGCGTAATAAGTAAACTTCTTCTTGTTGCCTTTGTCGTGCGAAAACTTGGGTTTTCTGGGTCCCTTGTTGAGGTTGTTGAGGTGCATAGGCTCAGGTCCGTTAGTTTGGTACTGGCCTGGGATCTGGGGCGTGTAGCTTCGCTGTCGTCCCTGATTGGGGTACGAACGTTGAAATGGTTGTCTCTGTCGAGCGTTCGTGTTCTGGAGTGCGCGATTCCCGCTGTATAAGCGTTCTTCTAGCATGAGCTTATAAAGCTCGTTGTCTACTTGGATAGCCTCGGCTATGAGTTCGTTGAGCGTATTGAGGCTGGATCTACTTCTTATGAGTTCTATGCGTACGGCTGGTTTAAGACCTTGTTTATACATCCGCATTAAAGCGGTGTCGTCCTATTCGATCAGCGTCTGGTACTGCTGGAATTTGGTCGTGTAGTCGGCGGCAGATCTAACTTGTTGTAGTTTCTAGATCTTCTGCTCAGCGATTACAGATTCTTTGAAAGGTGAAAATACTTCTCGCATTTTAGTCTTGAATGTGGTCTAATCCTCAATGAGGTCTTTGTTTCCTCTATTAGTGATAGTGTTATCTATGTAACGTTGGATGAACGGGTTGGCCTATTTTTCTGCGTCTCCTTGGAAGAAGGTAGAGGCCCAAACAACCTTGTCCTTATCTTTAATCTTGTCTCCTTCGAGGTGGAAGTATTGATCGACTTGGAGTAGCTATGTCTCGAGCTTGTTGCGATTACTATGGTAGGTGTCGGGTTTATTGGCGCGAACGTTAGTTCCTCTAGAGGTCTGGGAATCGGCAGGGGTGTCTATTGCGGTGTCACTTATCTTGAGGGTGTTTAAAGTGTGAAGGTTATCCTTAGATGACCTAAGAGTTGGTTCTCGGGGAATAAGTGAGTGCGATGGACGGGGTGGGCGTGATAGCACGATTGGTAGATCGATGTAATATTACGAGGGGTTGTATGAGAACGAAGTATAATCTTTAGATTGAATACTAGAGTCTTGTACGAAGTTGAACACACTAAGCTATAGGGGTTTAGTGTCTAAGCTATATACTAATGAGTGCTGCGCTTAGTATTGAGCGTGTGAGTGCTCGTTAATGAGCGATACAGTGCTGGCCCTAGTTATTGGCTGACTGGTCCTGCTCACTGCTGAGCACCTGTTCCGGGCCTAGCGTGTGTCTGCTCACTACTGAGCAGTTACGTGACCTTGGCGTGGTTGCTGTGCCGTAATTCTTTAACTGTGCCGCTTGATCCTCTAAAGTGATTACGCTTACCCCTGTCTCTTCCTAGGTACAGATCGTAACACCTAGGGATAAGAAGCCTCGGCTGGGTAGCCTTAGGACTAGTGCAGCTATCCGAACTCGCCTAGGATTGCGCTAGAACCTAGCTGGAGTTCGATGTAGGCTAGAGGAATCTTCTAACCTTGCTTAGGATAGTATCAGAGCTTAGGCGGAGCTTAGCTAGAGCACTAAGTATTACCTAGAACTCGCCTAGAGTTCAGAACCGCTACACATACAAATATCTATCCTATCTTAAGATAGCTTCAATAGTTAATTTATCTTAACCTAAACTACTAGCAAGTATCTCTTAATTAGCCTGTTACACACTAGTTCTGTCCTCTAATTTCCTCTGCTGCGTAATATACATGTTACAAGGTAACAAGGAAGTTGCTTCCTTTTAATGCAGGTTGCATAAAGGAAGACTATTAGGACAGCTACGATAGAAAGTCGCTGATCTATAGCGGGGCTAGGGTTACGTGATGTGCTATTACGCTAAGACAAAGCTATTAGTAATAGCAGAATATGTATGTAAAGGCAGCTATTAGAGGAAGGGACAACTATTAGTAATAGCAAGTTAGACCTATAATAGCAAGGACAGATTGCAATAGGTATAAAGGATAGACAGATTTTATTATTACACTTGTTGTAGTTAACTTAAATAGTTTATCTCTTACACAGATTATTAACTAGTTATTCTATTATTTATAGAATTAGTATTGTTTATCCTTTAGTTACAACAATAACTCTTTTCTACCTAATTATTCTATACATTACCTTACGGACTACCGCTTTAGTCTACCTCGCCTTAGTATAGACTAAGCCTAGAGAAGTATAGCCTAACCCTGTGTAACACTTTAACTACCGTAGATATTAGTAGACGTTTTAACTAACAGGACTGCCCGATTAAGATTTAGCAATAGCTTATTAGGGAAACACTTAAGTTAACATAGCTTAGGGCTAAGGACCTGCTATGCTAGCACACCCTATGCTAGAAAACGAAGAGATACTCGAAGTATTAGACTCCGACACTAAGGACGATCCTAGTGCTCGAGAAATTAGGAATCTTAGGCGACAAGCCTATGTCTAGGCACAGTAGATAGCTGCTATAATAGACATAATTAATTAGCTTTTAAACTAGCTAATAGCTACCCTAAACAAACAACCTGCTGCTACTAGAAAGCTAAAGATAGCGGCACCTAAGAAGTTCGAAGGAGATTAGGAGAAATTGCGAACATTTCTTACCTATACCAACCTGTATTGCGAATACAATAAGGTCTCCACTAACTAAGAAAAGATCCTTATAGCTAGTACATACATAAAGGATAAAGCCTCTAACTAGATGCAACCCTATATAGACGATTACCTGTTAGATGCAGAGTATAGGGGAACTAAAGCTAAAACGCAAGCCTTATTTGCTAGTTAGATAGAGTTTAAGGAAGAAATAGGACGTATCTTTAGAGAAGTAGACGCGAAGAACTAGGCTAAAAAGAAGATAACTCGCCTAAGATAGCTTACGTTAGTCTTAGCCTATACAGCAGAGTTTAAGCAACTGTAGGCAAAGATTAATTAGGATAACGCAGTACTTTGCACAGTGTTTAAAACAGGCCTTAAAGAAAAGGTTAAAGATAGACTTGTATACTACAATAAGCCTAAGTTACTGCACGCTTTAATTAAGTTATTAACTTGTATCGATAACAGGCTTTAGGAAAGAGACGACTAGAAGAAATACTTCTAACCTAATATGCCTAACACTAAGAGGCAGCGTAGAAGATTTAATAGAGATGGCGACGCTATTATAACTAGCAAGGTACAAGACAAACCTAAGGATAAGAAAACTTAAAGATAGAGACAGAATAGTCTCTCTAAGGAAGAACGCTAGAAGCGTTATAATAATAAAGTATGTCTCTGATATAGCAAAGTTAGACACTTTGCTAGAGACTGCAAGGAAGAACAAGTCAAGCAGGCGGCTATTAAGATTAGGATAATTAGATAAGGCACGCTATACCTAACTTAGATAGAATTAGATAACAACCTAAGCGATATAGACCTATACGAGGAAGCACGCTTAGCAACTAACAAAGGGTTTGTGATAATATCACGACCTAAGGTCGTAGTCTTAGTAGAACTAAGGACTACAGACTAGAGAATTAAGGGCCGAGTCGTAAGGAAACGACTAGCTAATTAGTAGTGTTGGATCTGCGGAAACGCCGCACACTATGCCAACGACTGTACGATTCAGCGACGAATTATGATTATTGGTAAGGACGCCAAGGAAATTAGACAAGAGGCTATGCGCTAACAACCCTACTTTAATAACAAGGAAGCCGAGGTCTTAGACCAGGAAGATACTAAGGAACACGAAAAGCTATGTTAGTATAACTGCAAAATTGACTGCACGTTCTATAAGGAGGACAAGGAGGCATGTAGAACGGACTAAGATTAGTGCTGTTACATAAACTTATGGCTAGATGAATGCTTAGCAAAGAAATGTTACATCTACGATCTAGAACTAACAGATCCTTACTACAAACTTCTATAGACGCAATGCAAGATTAGCTGTGACTTCTACTGCAAATAACTTGAGAAAGCACATAAGGTAGACGATTACTACTACTGTACCTTATTATTAAATATCTGCAGAATCGTAGATTGCCTAATTTACTAAGCTAAGAAGGCAAGGACTAGGAAGGTAATTTATAAGGAAGAGATACCTTATATTAATATTTATTAGAGCTACTGTTACGATAACAGGTGTTTAATACACTACAGCTTAAAAAATGACACTAGCTACTTTCCTAAGTATAGGGGAAAGAAGCAGCTAAAAAACTAGGACGCTACTAGGGACAGGGTCTTACTAGTGAAGGCGCACCTACAACAACCTTTAGGAAGGTACAGAATACTAATAGTTAAGCAAAATAATTACTTACGACTGTATCTGTATAAGGTTAGGAGATTAAGGCGCTCGTAGATAGCGGGGCTGTATATATAATAATCTCACCCTAAGTAGTAGAGAGGCACGGAATACTATATAGGGTTAAGAAGAAACCTATACTAGTAGTACTAGCCGACGAGAGACCTATAGAATATAGAAACGGCATAATAAAGTTAGAAACTGAATTAACGAAACTACAAATAGCAGGCATAGAGTGCTATATAGACATTAGCATTATAGAGCTAGGAGATCTAGATATGCTAATTAGTTATAATTAGCTAGACGCCTATAACCCTGCTATTAACTAGCGAATAAAGACGATACTTAGGAGAGAACCTGTGCACAAGGTTGCTAGAGTACGTAGAGAGACACGTCCGACGAATTAGAGCTTACCCTAGGACAGGAGATTTAGCAAGATCTCGCCTTATAAGATTAGGAGAATCTATAAGAAGGACCCTTAGAAAGTAGGAGTTATCTAGATAAGACGCGTCGCGACTACGAAGGAAGGACCCTTACTACTAGAGATACTAAGAGAGTATTAGACTAACGAGTTCAAGGAACTCTTTGAGGAAAACGAAGCTACAGACTTAGCAGACTATTAGGATTAGGATTACGAGATTATCCTAGATAAAGGGGCAAAGCTTAGCCTAGGACTAATGTACCTAATAGCGCCCGAGCACGATGCTAAGCTGCGGGACTACATTTAGAAGAATCTAAAGAAGGGATTTATCTAACTAGAATTAGGCCTGATAGCCTTACTTATCTTGTTTGTAAAGAAGCCTAACAGGAAATAGCAACTATGTGTCGACTTCTAAAGGTTAAACAGCGTTACGCGGAAGAACTGATATCCCTTGCTACTTATTACGGAGCTTATAGATCGACTCTAGGGAGCTAAGTAGTTTACAAAATTCGACGTTTAGGAAGGTTTCTACTAAATTAGGATTAAAGAAGGTTATAAATAGATGACAGCGTTTAAAACAAAGTATAGACTGTTCGAGTATACAGTTATGCCTTTTAGATTAACGAACGCACTAGCAACCTTTTAATTAGTTATTAACAACGCCCTTTATAAGTACCTCGGAATCTTTGTTACAGCGTACTTAGATAATGTACTAGTGTACTCTAGCGGAACGCTTAAAGAACACGTTAAGCATGTTAAGAAAGTGCTTAGGA